AGTAGTAGTCGCAGTAGTAGTAGTAGTAGTAGTAGTAGTAGTAGTAGTAGTAGAAGTCGTAGTAGAACGTAGTAGTAGTAGTCGCAGTAGTAGTAGTAGTAGTAGCAGTAGTAGTAGTAGTAGTAGTAGTAGTAGTAGTAGTAGTAGAAGTCGTACGTAGTAGTAGTCGCAGTAGTAGTAGTCAGTAGTAGTAGTATAGTAGTAGTAGTAGTAGTAGTAGTAGTCAGTATCGTAGTAGTAGTAGTAGTAGTAGTAGTAGTAGTAGTAGCCGTAGTAGTCAGATTCGTAGTAGTAGTAGTAGTAGTAGTAGTAGTAGTAGTAGTAGGAATAATAGTAGTAGTAAGTAGCAGTAGAAGTAGTGTAGTAGTAGTAGTAGGTAGTAGTAGTAAGTGGTATTAGTAGTAGTACAGTAGTAGTAGTAGTAGTAGTAGTAAGTAGTAGAGTAGTCGTAGTAGTAGTAGTAGTAGTAGTAGTAGTAGTAGTAGTAGTAGTAGTAGTAGTAGTAGTAGTAGTAGTAGTAGTAGTAGTAGTAGTAGTAGTAGTAGTAGTAGTAGTAGTAGTAGTAGTAGTAGTAAGTAAGTAGTAGTAGTAGTAGTAGTAGTAGTAATAGTAGTAGTAGTAGTAGTAGTAGTAGTAGTAGTAGTAGTAGTAGTAGTAGTAGTAGTAGTAGTAGTAGTCGTAGTATCGTAGTAGTAGTCGTAGTAAGTAGTAGTAGTAGTAGTGTAGTAGTAGTAGTAGTATAGTAGTAGTAGTAGTAGCAGTAGTAGTAGTAGTAGCAGCAGTAGTAGCAGCAGCAGCAGCAGCAGCAGTAGTAGCAGTAGTAGTAGTAGTAGTAGTAGTAGTAGTAGTAGTAGGAGTAGTACTAGTAGAAGAAGAATAAGTCGTAGTTGTTGTTGTTGTTGTTGTTGTTGTTGTTGTTGTTGTTGTTGTTGTTGTTGTTGAATTCTCATGTGTGAAGAGTAGTTATTGTTGATCACCCCTCCTGGTGACTATTGTGCTTTTTTTCACTTGGTGTTCCCCCCCGGGGCTCGCACCCTTTTTTCTATCAGGCAAGTTCACTCGGCTCAAACTGTGTTGTTGGCCCCCAGGTTGCAACAACAACAACGGTTCCCGCTTGAGATTTCCGAGCACTTTAGCCACGACCCCCGCTCCCGCCTGAGGCTTCCTCGCATTTTTCTCAGGAATCACGCTTTCGCTAGGGACTTCCTTACAATTTATTCAGGAATCGCTCTCTCGGCGCTCTGGAGTCGCGCTCTCGCTGGAGACTTGCTCGCACTTTACTCAAGAATCGCGCTCTTGCGTGGAGATTTCCCCGCAATTTACTCAAGCGCCGCGCTCCCGACACCCCAGCACCCAGGAGTCGCGCTCACGCTCAGGATTCCCTCGCAGCTTATTTAGGAATCGGGATCTCGCTGCCCTTCGTGGCCCCGTTGCAGCCCTTCGCGGCCCCCTCGTTGCCCTTCGTGGACCCGTTGCAGCCCTTCGTGGCCCTGTTGCAGCCCTTCGTGGCCCCCTCGCTGCCCTTCGTGGCGCCATCGCTGCCCTTCGTGGCCCCGTCGCAGCCCTTCGTGACCCTCTCGTTGCCCTTCGTTGCCCCGTTGCAGCCCTTCATGGTCCCCTTGCTGCCCCTCGTGGCCCCGTTGCAGCCCTTCGTGGCCCTGTCGCTGCCCTTCGTGGCTCCGTTGCAGCCCTTCGTGGCCCTGTCGCTGCCCCTCGTGGCCCCATATATGTATGCCCTTCGTGGCCCCCGCTCGTTCGCGCCCGTCGTGGCCGCATATGCATGCGCTTCATGGCCCCGCGGTCGCCCTTCGTGGTCCCCTTGCTGCCCTTCGTGGCCCCGTTGCCTTCCTCAGTGGCCCCGTTTCTGCCCTCTGCGGCCCAATCTGCGTATGCCCTTCGTGGCCCCCGCTCGTTCGCGCCCGTCGTGGCCCCATATACATGCCCTTCATGGCCCCGCTGTCGCCCTTTGTGGCCCCCTCGCTGCCCTACGCGGCCCCGTTGCTACCCTGAGCGGTCCCGTCGTTGCCATCTGTGGCCCTTTATTATCTGCCCTTCGTGGCCCCCGCTCGTTCGCGCCCTTCGTGGCCCCATACGCATGCCCTTCGTGGCCCCCTTCCTGCCCCTCGTTGCCCGGCTGTCGCTCTCGCTCTCGCTCTGGCGCTTGCTTTCGCTCGTCGTCGTCGCCGTCGTCGTCGTCGTCGTCGCCGTCGTCGTCGTCGTCGTCGTCGTCGTCGTCGTCGTCATCGTCGTCTTCGTCGTGGTCGGTCCCCTGTCCGTCCCTCTTGGGGTCGGGTTGCCGCCGATCAGCGCTGCCGCTGGCCCGGCCGACGGTTCGCGGCCGCCCCGCCGCTTGCTGGGGCCCGGCCTGCAGGGAAGAAAAATATACCCCCCCAAAAGGGGTACGATCGAAGACGAAGAGGGCGGGTACCGAGGGTTTGGGAAATACACGTTGAATGACATTCGAGCAGATAAGAGCGAACAGTCTTAAAATGATTGTTGTTGTTGTTGTTGTTGTTGTTGTTCTTCTTCTTCTTCTTCTATTTCTATTTCTTCTTCTTCTTCTTATTCTTCTCTTCTTCTTCTTCTTCTTCCTCTTTCTTGTTACAGCATAACTATGGTTGATCCCCCTGCGGTAACTTTTTGTATTCTTCACTTAAAGTGTTTTCCCAGGGCTCGCACCTTGTTCTTTACTTGGGAAAGTGAGGTGTCACTACAGTGCGCCCGTGGCACTCCAGTTTACAAAAACAGCGGCTCTCGCGTGATATTTCCTCAGAATGTATTTCCAAATCGCTCTCTCGCGCTGGACTACCTCACAAATTATCCGTAATGGCTTCGCCCCCTGCCGCCGGCCCCCTCTCTATCAGAATGGGATATACCAGAGTCGCGTCGGTGCGTCTCGGCGCTGCCTTGGCGAATCTGGGAACATCATGCGGGAGCGGATAGGAATCATCAACGCATATCGAAACGTTGGCGTTATCCTAGTGGTTTTCGGCTCATCCCCCTGCTGTGCCTGGGTTGTGGGTCTGAGGTCTCTTGCATATGTGTTGGTGTTGGGGTGTCGTGGGGAGCCTCTCGGGGGCCTCTTGGAGGCGGTTTGGGTACTTCTTGGGGGTCTCTTGGGGACTCGTGGGGTATCTTTTGGGCCTCCTGGAGGCCTCGTGGGCGCATCTTGGGTGCCTCTTGGGGCCTCTTGGGGCTTCTTGGCGGTCTCTAGGGGCCTCCTGGGGGCTTCACCGGGCACAAATATGACATTTTTGGATCGTGGTGCCCTGCTTGGGCCCCTCTTGGGGCTCTTTGCATTGGATCGTTGCCTCCGGGGTGCGAATGTGGCGTAATTTGTTTGGGAGCGTGGCCTCGGGAGCGCGAACACGGCGCAATTTACAAGGGATCGTGGCCTCGGGGGCGCGAATGAGGTGTAATTTAAATCGGATCGTGGCCTCGGGGGCGCGAATGTGGCGTAATTTGCGAGGGATCGTGGCTTCGGGGGCGCGAACGGGGTGTAATTTGTTAAGGATTGTGGCCTCGGGGGCGCGAACGTGGCAAAATTTACTAGAGATCGTAGCCGCGGGAGCGCCAGCGTGTTGTAATTTGAGATCGTGGCCTCGGAGGCGCGAATATGGTGTATTTTACAAGGGATCGTGGCTTCGGGAGCCATTTGCGAATGATTATTGCGTCGGGAGCGCGAATCTCACGTTTTGTAACGTGTCCCACGGCCCCGCAGGAATTCAGACAACGCGATTCGCGGGTGGTAACCAGACGCTTTTCAGATCTCTTCCCTCGCGCGGGCTTCAACAGTTTACAGTAGGAAGCAGAAACCAGGATTGTAACATTGAAGACTGGACACTGCAACTGGTGTAGGGAGCAGCAACCCTGACCCTCGCAGCCTGATGGCTCCACAAGGGGGCCGGCGGATTCAGACGCCGCGCCCCCCACACTCAGGAAGCATGTTCTCGCTTTGGCCTTTCTCGCGATTTGCATGGCAATCGCGCTATCGCTCGAGACTTCAGACCTCCTCGCGATTCATGCAGGACGCACCTTCAGCAACCCGCCTGCCCCTTGTCCCCTCCTTCCATCCGTCCTCTTCCCCTGCCTCAGGGACTGCACAAAGTACACGTTGCAGGTAAGAAAGATCGGAGGTCGGGGGGTGAGATCGAAGTGGAACGGAGAGCCCCCCACCGGGAAGTCGGTTTCGGTTTCGTGTTCGTGCGTGCCGTGCGTGCGGGCGAGGCGAAGCTACGTAGGCGGGCGAGAGGAAAGTCTTCTGTGGCTGAGGCGCGGCCGGACCAAATGATTCTCCCTAAAGCGGTGGCCCGCGGTGTCCCGCCGGTGTCCCGCCGGTGTCCCGCTTGTGGCTGGGTCCCGGCCGGACCAAATGATTCTTCCTCCAGCAAGCGGTGGCCCGCATGGCCCGGCGGTGTCCCGCCAGTGTCCCGCCGGTGTCCCGGTGTCCCGCTGGTGCGAAAACGATAGTGAGACCGATGACGAAATCGATTGTGAGATCGATAGTGAGATCGATAGTGAGACCGATAGTGAGATCGATCGTGACATCGATAGTGAGATCGATAGTGAGATGAACAGTCTGAATAGTGATATCGACTGTGAGATCGAGGGATATCGATAGGGAGATCGATAGTGGGATCGATAGCGAGATCCAGAGTGAGATCGACAGCGAAATCGATCGAGTGAGATCGATAGTGAGATCGATCGAGTGAGATCGATAGTGGGATCGATGGTCCCAAGAGCGAGCGGCAACGCAACAATCACTACTGTTGCCCATTGCTGGCCCCCTTCCCCCCCCCAACCTCCTTATCACCCGCAGGGTGGTCGTATAGGTATATCATATATCTCTAAGGGGGTGCGATCGAAGACGAAGAGGGTGGGTATCGAGGCTTTCGGATCTACGTGTTGAGTGGCACGCGAGCAGATAAGAGCGAACAGTCTTAAAATGTTGTTATTGCTGATTCTTCATTCGCGTATCAGTCTCCTTAAACTTCTGGCAGGTCGTGCGCAACTTGACCGACGACGACATGGCCGAGGAGGCCTTCAGATGGTCGCTCAGCCTCATCTCCAGGATCTTGACGCGTGTGATCACAGAGGGCTCCACGATTGTGATGAAGGCAGGGTCTGGAATGAACGGAGGGGCGGGAAGGATCGAAGACGCTTTCGGCAATCCACCGCCGCCCCCTGCTTTTTGGAAGTGCCTCTGTAGCCAATCTCTGGGCCAAAGTCTGGCCAAACTGTTGAACTAGATGTTCCCCCAGCCGCTGTGGAACCCCTTGGAACACTTTGGGGGAAACATTGATGTGCATAGATTCGTGTACATCGATACTTGGGTATATGTATGTATACATATAGCGGCGCACCAGTGGGGGCTCTCTTGGGAGCCTCGGGGTGCCGTCTTGGGCAAATCCTTGGTGCCTCTCGGATTGTCCTGGGCTCCTCCCAGTATTAAGCCCATGCGCGCGTATATGTTTTGTTCACGGCCTTGTCTTCCGGGCCAGCCCCGATGGCCCCTGGGACGACCCAATAGGTCCAAGACGGCTCCAGGGCATGTCTCTGGGATCATCCTGGGGCTTGGTCGAAGTCTGGATTCCCAAGACCTCCTCCCCAGGCCTTGGGGAGAGCCGCATGGGAAGCCCCGTAAGTTTCAGGAATCGAGGGTCTTGGGCCCTCACATTTTTTTTATCAGTTTAATAGAACACGAATAATGACAAACATAGAATACTCAGTACTACTGAGGACTTGATTTGGCTTCACTCCTCCGGCACGGTCATTTTTCGCAGTGGAGCCGTTACGTTGGAAACAAGAAAGAGGACAGGCCTGCCGTGCAAACATTGCGGCAAGACTTTCCTATCCTTTGGTCACCTCCTTGCGGAGTGTCCACGGCACCGAGGCCTTCGTGAACGTGCTACGGCTGACTATTTTCTACCAGCGGTGTTCTGGACCCCCATCCCTCTCGTGACTTCAACGTCGGGCTGGGTAACATACGATCTTGAAAGAGCCATGATGCAGACCGCAGTGTGTGTTCAGTTGCTGTGGGCATCTTGCAGCTGTGAGCAAAAGATACGCTGTCAGACCCAACGCCGCTTCCGTCCTAGAGGCAGGCTCGCTTCGGTTTCACAGTCTACTAATCGTCACTTGTGGGTTTATGTTGTCAGTCAGCATTTCGCCCTTCAACATTTTATTTACTCGACACGGTGTCGGATACATAGCGTTGTGTGGAAGCACGAAGTGTTCAGGAGTATAAGATATTCAGCCGGTGCAGCAACGCCATCAATACCTACCTCTGTAATCCAACGTAAGCACGTGACGATCACGGACGATGTGACCTGCACCTAAAGGCAAGGGGATGAGGAAGGAGAGGATGATCTGTCTTCTTCTCCTTCGTTTCCAGAAAACCTTGGGACACAGGAGACGCCTTGAGAACGTTTCCTGGCAGTTGGATGCGTCTTTAGGGAAACGAGCAATGACATAAACATAACAACTCGGAGGTCCGCGCGGATTTCTCGCATCGGCGCTGGGGCCCCCTGGCGGCGCCTCCGGAGCCGCCCCTGGCGCGTTCCGCGCGCCAGGGAGGGGGGTCCAGCGCAGGTACAAGAAATCCGCGCGGACCTCAGAGTTTTTCTGTTTATGGCATTTTTCGTTCCCCTAGTCTTACGAGCCTATCCTCCCTTCGCCCTCCCGCCTGCCGCTTCCCGCCCAGGCCATCAACACGAACTCTGGCAAGGCGCTGAAGAAGGCGGTCGCCTGTGCGCCGCGAGGCAAGCGGGCGCTGTGGATGCTCAACATCCAGGCCGGCGTTCCGCCTGTCGCCCTCGGAGGGAGGAGGACCGAGGAGGGAGGAAGGAGAAGGGGGGGCGACGAGGAGAAGGAGGAGGAGGAGAAGGACGAGGAGGAGGACGAGGAGAAAGGAGAAGGACGAGGAGGAAGGAGGACGAGGAGGAGGAGGAGGAGAAGGACGAGGAGGAAGGAGAAGGGGAGGGGGACGAGGAGAAGGAGGAGGAGGAGAGGAACCACGCCGCTGCAACTGTCGCCACCTTGCCCCTCTCCCTCGCCACGCTTCACGAGAGTTTTTCGTCGCAGCCTTCGTCTTCGCCGTTCCGTCGTTCTCTCACCCGCTGCAGGGGTTGCTGGGGGACCTGGCTAGCCCCTCCCCCTGGCGGCAGATGCCGCTTTTTGGGGGGGTATGGCAGTGTACAGCAATGGATTCTAATGCCAGCAGCGTTAGCGTCCAAAGGAGGAGAAGGAGGAGGAGAAGGATACAGCGGATGAGAGTGCGTGTGACTACGAGTACGAATGTGACGATGATGCCAATAACGGTGATGATGACGATGACGATGATGATGGTGATGATGATAATTGATGTCGCTGATGAAGATGGTCATGATGCTGATGCTGACGATGATGATGCTGATGGTGGTGAGGATGATTCAGATTGACGGCGATGGTGGTGATACTGATGCTTCTGATGCTGATGATGGCGATGTTGATGATGCTGTTGATGGTGATGTTGACGATGATGATGCTGATGATGAGGTTGATGGTTGCTGCGGTGGTGATGGTGACGATAATGCTAATGCTGATGTTGATGCCGAGGAGGAGGATGAGGAGGGACGACGACGACAATGCCGATGATGATGATGATGATGATGATGATGATGATGACGACGTCGGTGATGCTGATGCTGATGCTGATGCTGATGCTGATGATGACGACGATGCTGATGATGATGATGCTTCTGATGATGATGATGCGCTGCTGCTGCTGCTGCCGATGCTGATGGTGTTGATGATGGTGGTGTTGGTGATGATGCTGCGCTGCTGCTGCTGATGGTGGTTGTGGTGATGATGATGATGATGACGACAATGCTGATGATGCTGATGATTATAATCGTGATGATGATGCCGATGACGATGACGATGATGAAACTGATGATGATGCTGCTGATGATGCTGATGATGATGCTGATAATGCCGCGCTGCTGCTGCTGATGATGGCGATGATATGACGGTGATGGTGCTGCGCTGCTCCTGCTGACGGTGGTGGTGATGGTCACAATGATGCTGATGCTGATGATTTTGATGATGCTGCTGATGATGCTAACGACGACGACGATGTCGATGCCGATGATGATGCTGCTAATGACGATGATGGTGCTGCTGATGATGATGATGCGCTGCTGTTGCTGCTGATGATGCTGATTCTGATGAAGATGATGATGCTGATGATGAGGTTGATGGTTGCTGTGGTGGTGATGGTGACGATAATGCTAATGCTGATGTTGATGCCGAGGAGGAGGATGAGGAGGGACGACGACGACGATGCCGATGATGATGATGATGATGATGATGATGATGATGATGATGATGATTATGATGATGACGACGTCGGTGATGCTGATGCTGATGCTGATGCTGATGCTGATGATGACGACGATGCTGATGATGATGATGCTTCTGATGATGATGATGATGCGCTGCTGCTGCTGCCGATGCTGATGGTGTTGATGATGGTGGTGTTGGTGATGATGCTGCGCTGCTGCTGCTGATGGTGGTTGTGGTGGTGATGATGATGATGACGACAATGCTGATGATGCTGATGATTATAATCGTGATGATGATGCCGATGACGATGACGATGATGAAACTGATGATGATGCTGCTGATGATGCTGATGATGATGCTGATAATGCCGCGCTGCTGCTGCTGATGATGGCGATGATATGACGGTCATGGTGCTGCGCTGCTCCTGCTGACCGTGGTGGTGATGGTCATAATGATGCTGATGCTGATGATGTTGATGATGCTGCTGATGATGCTAACGACGACGACGATGTCGATGCCGATGATGATGCTGCTAATGACGATGCTGATGCTGCTGATGATGATGATGCGCTGCTGTTGCTGCTGATGATGCTGATTCTGATGAAGATGATGATGCTGATGATGATGATGATGATGATGATGATGCTGGTGATGATGATACGTTGCTGCTGGCGCTGCTTCTGCTGCTGCTGCTCATTATGGCGATGATGATGCTTCGCTGCTGGTGGTAGTGGTGGTGGTGGTTCTAATGATGATGATGATGATGATGATGATGATGGTGGTGGTGTTGATGATGATGATGATGGTTTGGTGGTGGTGATGATGATGCTGCTGATGATGATGATAATGCTGGTGATGCTGCTGATGATAATCATGATGATGCTGATGACGATGACGATGATGAAACTGATGATGATGCTGCTGATGATGATGCTGCTGATGGTGATGCTGATGATGATAATACTGCGCTGCTGCTGCTGATGATGGCGATGATAATGATGGTGATGGTGCTGCGCTGCTCCTGCTGACCGTGGTGGTGACGATCATAATGATTATGATGCTGATGATATTGATGATGATGCTGATGATGCTAACGACGACGACGATGACGATGCCGATGGTGATGCTGCTGCTGATGACTATGATGATGCTGCTGCTGCTGCTGATGATGATGCGCTGCTGTTGCTGCTGATGATGCTGATGATGATGATGATGATAATGATGATACGCTGCTGCTGGCGCTGCTTCTGCTGCTGCTGCTCATGGTGGCGATGATGATGCTACGCTGCTGGTGGTAGTGGTGGTGGTGCTAATGATGATGATGATGATGATGATGATGATGATGATGATGATGGTGGTGGTGGTGGTGATGATGATGGTTTGGTGGTGGTGATGATGATGCTGATGATGCTGCTGATGATGATGATGACGGTGGTGGTGGTGATCATGCTGCTGCTGCTGATGATGATGCTGATGATGATGATGATGATGATGATGATGATGATGATGATGATGATGATGATGATGATGATGATGATTTGGAAGTGCGCCTCGTTGGCGCAACCCCCGCTGTCGGCGCCCAGAGCGCCTAGAACCCCCGCCGTCGACGCCAGCACTAGACGAGGTATCCCTCCCCGGCGCCAGCCAACCAGGCAGGCACGAGGCGGGCACGGGCGAGCCACGGGCGAAGACCCGGAGAACCGACCAACTTATCAGAACAGAGAGGCAAGAACCGACCAACTCATCAAACCAAGAGGGCCAGGGCACCTCCCTCCCCCTCCTCCCCCTCCCCCTGCCCTCCTCCCCCGTCTCCTCTTCCGCCCACACTTTCAGCAGCCGCGAACTACACACCTCACCCGATCCTGGTCAGGCCGATCCTGGGCTCACACTAGGCCTGTCCAGGACTGGTGTATACAGGTGCGCAATTGGCTCCGATGTGGTTGCAGAGAGGCATTCGGAGATCGCTCTTCCTCCTTGTCGTCGTCGTCCTCCCCCCCCTCCTTATCCTCCGCCTCCTCCTTGCTAGGTCAGGGAGGCCGCCCGACTGCATTGGAGACTTTTGGTGTCCTTCTGCTCTTTGCTCGCCCCCCCCCTTCAGGTCGGCACGCAGTCGATCTCCCCCTTCATGTGGGCAATCGAGACGGGCAGCCTCGAAGCAGCCAAGGCGAGGATGCTAAGTAGGAGCAGGAGGAAGAGAACCAGGAGGGGGGTGGTGAGGATGGAGACCGTAAGGGGCCGAAGAAGTAGGGGTCGTCGTAATAGTAGTAGTAGTCGTAGTAGTAGTAGTAGTAGTAGTAGTAGTAGTAGTAGTAGTAGTAGTAGTAGTAGTAGTCGTAGTAGTAGTAGTAGTAGTAGTAGTAGTAGTAGTAGTAGTAGTAGTAGTAGTAGTAGTAGTAGTAGTAGTAGTAGTAGTAGTAGTAGTAGTAGTTGTTGTTGTAGTAGCAGTCGTAGTAGTCGT